ATTGATTGCATATTTCACATTTTATTTCTTCAAAATTTTCAGAATTGGAGCTTTGTTGTGTTTCAGCATCTATGTCTGTTATTTACTCCACAATACAGACATTTTCTAGTTTTTCTCTCTCGATTTTCTCTGTTGTAATTTACAGGAGATGGAATTCCTCTGTTTGAATAACCTTTGCTGAAACCTCTGAATGATCTGCCTCTGGAAGAAAATTCTCTGTTATAATTTGATGAATCTCTTGGTGATGTCCTGTCATATTCAAATGGCTGTTGTGATTGATTTTGTTGTTGTTAAAATTTACCGGTGCCTCTGCTTTAGTTGGTAGCACCTCTATTGTATTGGAATCTACTAGGACTGTGTCCTCCTCTTGTAGAATCAATTCCCCCCTGATCTGTTTATCTCGGATGATCTATTTTCAAAGGTGCTCATCTTTTGGTCCATCTTCTCCATTTTCTTGAGAATATTTTCTAAAACGTTGTCAGTGGGGTCTGTTGTAGAAGTTGAAGGGCTGTGGGCTACATTTCTTTTTGAAGTTGGGATTTCTGTGATGTTGTTTGCTTTAGAATTTGAATTTTCTAACTCAATTGCCCTAATCTCTTTTCGCAAAAATGTCAAAATATTTCAGTCTCATATTTTTACCTGCTAGCATTTTTCAATTCTGAATCTTTCAACTTTGACCAAAATTTTGTTCTTATCATATCATTTCTAGCATCTTTGCTAATATGACTCTTTTCTACAGCTGATTGTAATATTGACTCTAACTTAATTTCATATTCAGCTACAAATTGACTGGCTTCTTGTTGTTGCAAGATTGTTTCACTGTCATAGACATTGCCAAAACTCCTTCTAATTTTTCAATAATGTCTGCAGGAGTTGCCTCCTCTGATAGAGAAAGTAATAATCCCCTACCCTTTCCCTGCCCCTCAATTTTTAAATACGCGACTTTACCATTTACATTTTTACATTTAATCCATTCAGACAAGGTGTCAACGTCTTCTTTTTCATATTTGTCCCATCATCTGGCGTAATCTTCGACAGAATCTATAATATTCATGAAATTCCGACGCCAGTTGAAGGATCGGGGATTCCCTATATTTAGGACCTTTTTAAATTAAGTGATCTAAGTTCCTCATTGCAGCCCGGAGGACCGGGCTGCTCTATACACAAAAGTTTAAGTGTGGGTGTATGGGGATTGGGGTGGGAGTAGTTTTTTGGAATCAAAAGTTTTCTAAACATTGAAAAGATTGTTAATCAGAATGTTCTTTCCGTTTATAAATTACGAGATACGTGTACATAATATATTTACTTCCATAAAGTGAATCTTTAAAAATATATACGTTTTTCATATTCAATATATAAAGTTGCTTATCATTTACTATCGAAAAAACGACAGGTCCCTTTTTTTTTTTAGAACATCGAATTTTACTTCTCGGATAAAAACGTACTCTGTACAGTTCGTGTTTTATATTCAAAAATTGAAAATTAATACATTTTTAAATAAAGGTGATGCGTGTGTCTAACTTCAATTTATATGTTATGCAGCCAACATTTACTTGAGGAATTGATCAAGTTTAAAATGGTATCGTTTTAATTGATTTTTAACCGACTACAAGTTTTCAAAATATTCGCGACTATCGTCTCCATCAATTAGACGCATGCCTTTTCACACATAATAATAATAATAAATAATAATAATACTTTATTTAGAAAAGGTAACCCGATTAGTGCGAGCAATAGTCTTCCTTGGGGCCTTCTTTAAAACATATATACAATGCATATATACAATAAATAGAATTACAATTATGAGACAATAAAAAATCAATCAGTATGTTACAAACAAATAAAAACATCAGCATTTCAGTATAGAGAGAAAGAAAAAAATTGCGTTTTATAAGCAGAAAATTTTCAACACTTCTTTTAAATATTGCAGGAGATTGAGAATTTCTGATATTAATTGGTAACTCATTCCAGATAATAACCCCTGAATATTGTAAAGAATTTTTAAATAAGTTTGTTTTATATTTTGGTTGTCGAAGTTCGGAATTTGTTTCTGAGCGTAAAGTGTATGATCCAGAACTTTGAAATTCAAAAAGATTATGCATATAATCAGGAGACATTCCATGAAATATTTTGTACATTAAAATGCTTTTCTGTAAATATAAAAGTTCATAAACTGTTAGCCAACCTAAAGTGTTAAATAAAGGCATTGAAGGTGTATCATATTTTTCATTTAAAATAATCCTAGCTGCTTTTTTGTAATCTGTAGATTCTGTCCATGTGTGTTTGAGGACAATTGCCCCAAATGGATAGACAATATAAAATCGATGGCAGGATAAAAGCATTATAAAATAGTTTTCTAGTACGCATTGGAAGAAACTTTTTGATTTTTCGTAAAGTAAATAATTTATATGTAAGAGTTTTGCAAACTGCATCTACATGACAAGTATATTGAAGATTATGATCAATGTGAACACCTAATAATTTTTGCATTTCTACATTTTCAAGGGGATGATCGGAAAGTTGTAAATGAAAATTAACGTTTTCTAATTTAGATTTCTTTTGGTGTGTTCCCATTAACATACACTTTGTTTTATCAGTGTTTATAATCATCTGATTTTGTTGACACCATTTTTGTATTTGACAGAGTTCATGATTAAGAGTGGTTTCCATACGCGAAATACTATTATCATGAAGATGCATTGTAGTGTCATCAGCAAATATATCAGTATTACAATGTTCAACAGACAATGGTAAATCATTAATATACAATAGAAACAACAAAGGAAGTAAAATAGAGCCCTGAGGCACACCTGCTGTGACTGGCAGTGATTCAGATGTGTACGCACCAATTTTAACACTTTGAGTTCGATTATATAAGTATGATTTAAACCATTTAATTGATATTGGATCAAAGTGATAGCATTCAAGTTTTTTAGTTAGTATATCATGATTAACAAGATCAAATGCTTTGCTAAAATCCAGATATGTAATACCTACAAAATTTCCTTTATCTATTGCATGCAACCAATCATCAGTTAGTTTTGTGAGAGCTGTCTGGCATGAGTGAAGTTCTTGAAATCCAGATTGTGCTTTCATTAGCAAGTCAAAGTGAGAAGTAAAGATGCGTATATTTTCTGCTACATGCTTCTCTAAAACTTTAGATATCGTTGGTAAAATCGAGATTGGACGATACTTTCCTGGGTCTGATTTATCGTCCTTTTTAAACAAGGGAGTTACTTTTGCGACCTTTAACTGTGAAGGAAAAGATCCATTGATTATGCTAGAATTTATTAAGTGTGTTAGAGGTTTGGATATTATAGTTTAAGCAATCTAGGTCCAAGAAAGTCTATACCAGCAAATTTGTTTACATCAAGTCTTTTTAACATTTCGAATACCTTTTCTTCATTAATCAAAGGGATTTCAAAAAAGTCTTGATCTCCAAGTTTTGTCTCCGTGTATCTTTTCAATTTTTCTGATTTAAAAGCAGTAAACGAAAGATTATCTATTAATTTTTTTGGAATTTGGGCAAAATGCTCATTAAATGCATTTGCAATATCTTGTAGATTATCAAGATCTAAACCGTTATATGTTATACTGGAAGGAGACGAGTTTTTGTCTGATTTTGAGGCTAACTGATTTAAGTGGCCCCACATTTTTTTTTTGAAGTAGAATTATTTTCAATTACTTCCTTATAATATTGAAGCGGTTTGATGATCAAGACTCATTTTCATTGTTTACTTTATATATTTCCCGGGCGATAATTGATGGTTACATCAATGTTTTCTTGTTATTAACTATATTTATGTCACCTATAATAACGTGTCTAGCAGGACTAAAGTTATAGGGCGAAGAAGAACATTAACACGATGGAGGATTATGTTTCAGATACTCAGTATCCAGGCCATGTAAAGCTTTTTAGTTATTAAAAAGTTTGGAAGCAATGGTCGATGTATATTTGTAGGAAATACAAGCTGTAGTCTTTACATTGAAATATGGTGGAATACAAGACTAAACCCTGTTGTGATTAAGAATATTACTTATATTAACCGCGTCAATTCCTTTATTGGCATATTGAAGTTTAAGGAAAAGACGGATTGTTTTAGCATTTTCCTCCGTAAAACGTATTTAATACTGCTGAAAAGAGATCTGTCTTATAAATATCATATCATAAAATATAAATACACTCAATGATACATATATATTATATGATATGACACCGTACATATTTATCACAATAATACTGATAATATATTGAAATAAAACTTGTTTACTCGTACCTAAACATAACAATTGAGTAATTACACTTTATGAACCAACTACTTATAATTATTATACATTCATGTAAATTAGTTGAATCTGATTGGTCGAGAAACAATTTTTAAAAAAACACTATTTCTCGCTAAATAATGAAGCCACGCCCTCCAGCGTAGCAACAGTCAACATTGCTTGAAGACGGGTGATATTCCAAAATATAGCAACTGTGCAGAATTTATGCACGCACGGTTCACTAGTATATGTATTTCTATAAAACATTCAGTATAACATAATAAATATTGCATATTTTCACCCCTTGAAAACCTTTGTCAATCTCGGCTGACAATGGTTTTTTTTTGGGGGGGGGGTGAAAATTTTCACTCAACTACATTCAATATTTATATAATATTCGATTTGAATCTAAAATACCGTATAAGTGGAAATTTTAGCGAGACGCAAATTTAGCGATTTGTCCTTAAAATTGATATATATCTTATTTTTAGTGATAAGTAATTTTAGCGTTTTTAATATGCTCACTAAAGAAGCCATTACAAATAAAACGCAATTTATTTTTAGCGATATTGAATATAAATTGGTTAGTTTATATCAATTAAGAGTTAATGGAGGTTTGTTACTTTAAAATACCCGGTAATACAAATAATACAAATGTCAAAATGAAGACACTTTCATAATTTATTTATGTTTAGAAAATGCGAAATCTAACATTTGATTTTCATAAACTTCAGATGGATGAGGAAATAATTGTCTCGACAGAAAATTCTTATGGAATCATGAAGAATGTCTTCAGAGCAAACGAATTAGAAAAGATAGTAAAGGAGAACTGGGCAGTACAAATGTTCTGGTTTCCTTTCAATTCTTATATACCTTTCAAAAAATACCATCCCGAAAATGATGATATTTGGGTGAGAACATTCAACAAGACAACACGTGAGGGACATGACCTGGAAGGTTTTTTTTATTATGTTTTGAAAGCTGCCCTTGATCTTGAGACTGAAGAGGCACTCAAGATAGTAAGCCCTTTTCTAACAAATAATCCATCATTCACTCCGCTATTCCAGAGGTCAGCTTTCTGTGTCATAAAAAATGCTGCATACAGGACTGGCCCGATATACCAAGAAATTCCACATGCAGTTCATTTTCGGTGAGTTATGTTCATTTACATAATTTTTTTTTTCCTTATGAATGTTGTGGAGTTAATTATTCTCTCTTTTTTTTAAAGAAAGTACATAGAAAAAGCAGAAGTTTATGACTTGGAGTTTGTATTTGACTACAAAGGAAATTTTGATAAGGTATTGGAAATCATCAATGTTGTCGTCAATTCTGTACAAAGCTACAAAAACAAGGACCAGTATCCACTGAATGTCTCTCTTGAGATGCGATTTATGGCACACAGGTAAAAAACATAAACTCGGTGAGGAAAAAGGAAAAAAGTTTGAAACATATATTAACTGTAAAAGTAAAAATACAAATACAAATTGGTGATACAAAAACAATTTAAAAATACATAATACATCTCTAGCAAAGGGAAAATTTTCAAAATCATTATTCTTTAGTGATGCATATCTTGGAACTGGAGTTCTTGGAAACCCAGAGTATGGTGGTTCTGGTCAAGTGGTTTGCATTGAGGTACTGAGTTTAAAGGGAACACCAAACTGGGAAGAGTTCAGCCAAGATGTCGGGAAAAAATGGATGGAGTTAGGAGGTGTTCCACATTTGGCAAAGCAGTATGACCATATTCCAAACATTTGGGAACATGTCAGAAAAGTAGGTGTCACAATTGTTACAAATTATCGAAAAGAAAATTGGTCCTAAGGTTAAAATGTTACAATATTATTCTAATAAGTATATTTGATATTAGAAACTGTAGATTCCTTATTTTTCACGAGTACTTTTTATCGCGAACTGGCTCTTTAAAATCAAATCGCGAGAATTATAATTTGTTGATTAACAGATTTTACATAGATTTCAGCACCATAAAAATAAAAGCGAGTAATATTTTTTCGCGAGTGATGCTTTTCGCGAAATTACGTAATACTAGTAATTAATTTCTCGCGTATAAATAGGAATCTACAGTACTAAGAGACAAAACGTAAAAAATCAATATACCAACATTTACAAAGTAGATTGACATTTCTATCATTAAACTGATAAATATCTCTTCTGAATTGATGACTGTTGTGACATGACCCGGCGAGTTTTCCTTTGAAGTCAAGCATACTGTAACTGCGATACAGAACACTTTTTGTGGGCGTTTCTTATGCAAATGAGCCGAAACTGTACTGTATCTGCAAAATATCAACGATACAGAACGGTTTATTTTTAGCCATGACGGAAAGCTGTATCTGTATATTCAGACACAAAATCGTTCAATTCGCATGATACATGTAGTAATGTTAGTATTACTCAAAACTTGAGGTGAATTAAGAATAAAATTTTACAACGTAAACTTACTAGGGTCGGATTCAAAAATTTAAGAAAAGAGGGAGTGGGGCAGTTCACAAATGACTACTTTGAACACCCCCCCCCCCCTAAAAAAAAATCAGTGGAAAATCGTATTTCATGGGGTTAGATTTATATCCAGCCAAGACACTATGTGCGTGCTATCGTTACTTGTTGATAAGTTAAAAGAGTATGTATATAAGTATACCAAAAAAATCATTTAGGAAAGCGAAAAAGAAAAAAAAATCAAGGAGGGGGGGGGGCTCAGTGATTGCTCGGATCCCCTTTCGTTACACTACATTTTATTAAAAACATAAAGTTAAATATGGGTGGGCCCCCTTCCTTTCATCTGTTTATTTCAAATTTGTATACGAAGGTCGGACATTTCTCTCAGATTACGTTCTCCCCGAAGCATTTTTGTTTCAAAAATATTCATGCACGATTCTTATATATCAAAATATTTTGCATTAATTAAGTCGAGGCTTAAATAAGAAAAAATGTCAGCAAGAGCTGAATAGAGAAAAAAAAGCACTACGTAATGAAATCTAAATTTAATTCTTTTGGAAAACAAATTATATTATGCATCCCCTAAATAATTATTTTAAAATAATAAATACCTGCACGTCCACCTCACTCGGCATTTCAGTTGCGAATGCTTAAAATGGGATACTAAATCAGTTTTCTGCAAAATCATTTGATTGATTGAGTGTTATGTACCCAACTACGCATGTAAATTAGTGAGGTCATAAGAAAGGTCATGTCACAAGTCATTTAGAATACTCGTTTCTTAGTGTATCGGAGATACGGGGCGGGGCCCGGCTCGAGCTATCGCTGTCGCCTCAAGCCCCGCCTTGTATCTCCGATACAGTAGGAAACTCGTACTCTAAATAATACTTGATATTGTTTTATATTTTAATATATATATATATATATATATATATATATATATATATATATATATATATATATATATATATATATATATAAAGCACTAAAAATGACCAACGACACGAACAATAAAAATTGTCAAATTTTCGGGACGCCCTGTCCCTTCCTCAGGACAAAGAAAAAAGTTAAAAAGTCATAAGAACAAAGGAAAGATAGAAACAAAAACAACTAGCACTACTACTAAACACTAGATATTTACATACTTAATTACATGTTGAATTCGAAATTTTTAAGAACAATAATATAGAAAGAAAGAAATCCGGACCGCTATGAAATGCGTCCGGTCTATCGGGTATACTCGGGTGAAGTGCGATTTACATAATTGAACGAATTAATTATGCTAATTAATTACGACAATCAGTAAATCGTACATTGTTTTATTCTCTCAAAATGGCGTAACTTTACTTAATAAAGAATAATCAAAGAAAGATTGCACTTCACCCGAGTATACCCGATAGACCGGACGCATTTCATAGCGGTCCGGATTTCTTTCTTTCTATATTATTGTTCTTAAAAATTTCGAATTCAACATGTAATTAAGTATGTAAATATCTAGTGTTTAGTAGTTTAGTAGTAGTGCTAGTTGTTTTTGTTTCTATCTTTCCTTTGTTCTTATGACTTTTTAACTTTTTTCTTTGTCCTGAGGAAGGGACAGGGCGTCCCGAAAATTTGACAATTTTTATTGTTCGTGTCGTTGGTCATTTTTAGTGCTTTATATAAATTTCCATCCGTGACCTTGTATCTACTTGGTAGATCCGACATTTAGGATATACAGTGTTGTTGGTTTTTTTTAGTGCTTTATATATATATATATATATATATATATATATATATATATATATATATATATATATATATATATATATATACTGACACGCAAAAGAAACGCAACATCCTACTTTAGGAGGAAATAATTATGTAAAGTAAAAAAAATTGAATCTTAAAATTATGGAAATCTTCACTTCGGTAAACACCGGTAATTTAACGGTTGAACGATTTTCATACCATAACCGGAAGTCAAATTTGAGTCTGCTTAACAGAAATAAAAAATTGCATGTTTATTTGAACATTTGGCAATATTATGGAGTTTTAAGGGTTTGTACTGTTCATCATGTTATGCAGCAATATTTCAAAAAATAAAATCTCCTATCGTTTCCCGAAACGATACTAAGGCTTCTCAAAAATGGCTTAAGTACGCATTTCCAATGCTCTAGCTGGAAAATCTCAAAGTAAAGGTGATGGAGAGTTGAGATGCAAAAATACACTACATTACGCCTCAATGGGGTCTTACGTATCATATGCATAAATGATAGTCCTTGGACGGAAGTCCAAGGGTTACTACAATGCTCTAAGTCAGAGAAAATTCGACCTAATCATCTGAAAAACAGGCATTTAAGAATGGCAAAGAATATTTCCTTCGCTCAGATCTCGATACTGATTAACCTATTGTATCGTAGAAGTTAAGCTGTAATTGTTGTTTAAGCCAGTCTTGCACGCTGTAATTGAATGGCTGGAAGGGGGGTGTTTTAACAGTCATATGTTTCTTAGTAAAGTTAAAAGATAAACATTTAACATTTTATCAAATGTCTGATGTTCTGAAAAGTGAGTTTATCCTTACTGTATTCTTTTTTGAAAATCATTAGATAGATAATTGAAACATTTGTAGATTACTGCTTGTTGCGTTTCTTTTGCGTTTCAGTTTATATATATTTATATGTGTGTGTGTGAGGATATGTGTGTGTGACGGTTTGTGAGGGGGGGGGGGGGTGAAAGGGTGTGTGATTGAGAGAATGTCGTTGTATTGGGCCTATGGCCTTAAATTTTAATTTTGTTAAAATTTTTAAATGCTAATCACATTTTTTTCAAATGTACAGGAAATGAAACTCCCGATTGAATCATTTAAAGAACAGCTGAAGAAAAGTGAAGCTGATCCTAATGGAATGTTCCTGAATTCGGGAATGCGTAAATTGTTTGGAATGGTTGAATAAATTAAACACTCAAGATAGCATGAAAAACATCAAAAATGAAAAATGAAAATAAACGTAACCATTTTTATTAATTTGGAATTCCTTCGCCATTTTTGTTTTGCCAAAATCCGAAAAAAGGGAAATAAATGACACCTGAAATGGATGCAAATGTAAATACTTTTCATAAAACATAGTATGTGTATCAATTGAGCAGTTTTTTAAAATCTATATTTGCTGATACTTTTAAATAATTTTGTCATATACCTTTAAAAACTGTCTCATATATACATGTAACTCTATTATCTATTCCGGTTTAATGCCCCCTACAATATCTAATATAAATATATATGTGTGTGCCTGTGTGTTTTTTATGTCAATTGCATGTTTTTTTTTAATTAATACCTTTTCTCATTCCACCCTGGACTTGCATGTTTATGTAATAAACCTTTCCTTTTATTTCTTTTGTTTCATCTTACCTCATATTTGACTAAGGTTTAGTTATAGACTGCATTTTATTCTTTTTAAACAGGATTTGTCATACTAATTTTAGTGACAGATTTAGTTTTCTTAATTTAACATTATGATCGATAAAAAAATATTCTGCAGAACATTTTTCGGAGGTAAACGATTATTAAAATTGTGGATTTCAATGTAAAAATAGATTTATACTTTGGATTTTAACATTAAAAATTGTAGGAAATAAGTTAGCTTAGTGTTTCGTTAATTCAAAATTATGAAATTAAATTATCTTAATATAGAATTTATGAAAATTATTTTATTCAAGCCAGCTGTATTCATATCACACAATATATGAACAATATGTAATTGGATCCACTTTGCTTTGAAATTATAATACAAAGTTATACAACATAAAAAAATTCAATGCTTTTATGAAGGTTGTTACGGCCTATTGAACTTTTACATAATAAATAAAATGTATCTACTTATGTACCGTTTGATAATAAAAAGTTAACCCGATGTCTGTTTTGTGTTTTGCTTCTCCAAGTTAGTCAAAAATTAAAAGAAAGAAGCAGTTGGTAAAATGAATACTCAAACGACTTCATTGCAAAAAGCGAAAAAAGCTAAAATACTTCAGTTTCTTTTTTTAAACTAAATGTTGTGCTGATGCATATGTCCTGGACTGCAGGATACTGTCAGTAGTCGTAACACACACGGGCACGAGGCTCACTGAAATAATTGGACATCAACACTGCTAATTCATGCAGGTGGTAGATAGTTCGTACCTTGAATCATTCCACCCTGTTTTATCTAAATCTCTCGTTTAAAACTTAGTGGATAGTCTGGGCCAGCATTAGCAAGCCACAAAATACAAACTAAATTAATTAAAACGTCAATTTTAAAAGTATTCTTTAAAAAGGAACTAATAGTAATATATTTACAGATAAAAGCATTTTGACCTTAAGACAATGATGTTCTTGCTCAGGACAAGTCCTAATTTGCCAATGCGTTTGGCAGTCTAACATGGCAACGCTTCCTTGAGTTGGCTCTTGAAGCAGGACTTGAGTTACAAGAGGTTGTAAGTCTTTCACCTGAATTGTAAAAGGCTCTTGAATCTTGATTTAGAATGTTTCCCTTCTGATCGCCATACAGATTTCCAGGGTAACATGCATCTTCCTCTTCCACCTCTTCCACTTGTTATTGTAGTCACTGTGTATCTCAATCTGGTCAACCACACTGAGATGTCACGGTCAGAGCATTTCTTTAATTTATCATGATGGACTTGTTTTTCCGTGCGCCGGTTCTTTATTCGATAAAGGACTGTTGACAGTTTCTCAGTCAAAACAAATGGACCAATCCAAAGTTTTTGTAGCTTTTTGGATTGTCCTATTTTTGTTGATGAATCTTTCATGTAGACTAGTTCTCTAACATAATATGTATGTGTGGTTGTGAAGCCGCAAAACATAGGTCCGTTTTTGACACATTTCCTCTGGCAAGTGTTTGGACCTGAGACATTACTTCTTCTAGCTCCTCAACAAAGGTGGTACATGAGGCTGCTGGATTTCACCCACACCCATCATGCTGTCTACAGGTTGTAGAATCTCTCGTCCTAGCTTCATTGTGTTGGTGGTAAATCTGGTTTGTCTGTTAACAGTGGTCCTTATTGCACCAATAATGATTTGCAAATGTCGATCCCAATTAATGTGGCTGGAAACGCACATTTCTTAAAAAGCAACGGATCGACTGAAAAGATGGTTCTATTGTACCGCTCTATCTGTTCATTTGAACATAGTCTGTACATGTATGGAGTTGTGCATGTTTTTGTGAGTCAATACTTTACGACAAGTAAGGTCATTTTTCGACCGTAGAAAACCATTCCAGACCATTAATTCTACAAACGTCGAAAATTGACCCCCCTAGAAATTTGACCCCCTACTTTTTTTATATAATTCAACCTTATATCTGTGTCTCCTGATATTTTTTTTTATATACTTTCAAATGTAAGCAGAGGAAATGTACTTTACCCCATTGCCATCATATATTTGATTGCAAATCCTAATATATGTGGTCATAATCTATGTATCTGGTATGGATTTTTTGGCTTGCAGCATCCCAATGAATAAATATTAATATTTTGAGGAGTATAAATGTTTATATAGTTATATGATTATATAAATGTTTTTCCACATTCAAATGTGAAAATGTCTTGATATGTTTCTGATAGTCATAAACTTGTAGGGAGCCCATCCCCATACCAAAATAAATTATCATTTGGATTCAGTTGTGAAAATTTTTACAAATCCAAAACATTGCATAGAAGCAAGAAAAGCAACGTAATTTTACTATATATACTTATATATGTGTGTGCATTCTGCTTTAAAATACATAATTTTTAACCATATACGGGAAATACCATACATATTAATGAATAATAAAAAAAATCCCTAAAAGGGGCAAAAAACATATGAGTGAATAATAGTTCAGCCATCACAAATTCATCAAAATAACCTCCTTTTTCAACACGTTTTACTTTTTAGCCAACAGACACTTGACAAATGGTTGCTGTAACCTACCCCTTTCTTCAAAAATATTCTTCGAAACTAACTTTGTAAATATACACGAACTCTTAGTCTATCATGCCATTATACCGATATTTAATATCATTTCTATTGATACAGAAATCCCCCCCAAAAAATAATGTGAATGGCAGATCAGTGAGACTGTTGTTTTAGAGGCCTCTTATAAATTATGTTACACTAATTAATGAGACTTCGCTAGAGCTTGATCGGAAGGTCGTGGTTTCGAGCCCCGGTCGCCAAAGATGCAGAAAGTAGCTTTCCGAAGAAAATAAATCAATACTCCTGTCTGTCAATATACATTTTTTGAGAGCTACAATTCTGCAGGTATGATCACGACTGTCCTATGTCGATAAAAAAAATACATAGTAACTCCATGCATCTTCCTCAAGGTTTAAGCACTTTGAAGTGAAAGTCGAGGGTCCTTTGGATGAGACCTTAAAATCGAAGTCACGTTTCACGGCAGGCGTTGGCACCATAAAGATTTCAAAGCTCAATAGGCCAGAATGCCGAGTAAGGGTCAATATTTGAAGCCCTTCACCGGTATATGGTGAGGTCTCTGTAAGAGTAAAAAATTCTCGAACAGGATGTAAACCAACTCAAAATTAATCAACACTTGAGGAAATTCCGAAAGCTGTTACACGGTCCTATTAAATATATTTATGATTCAAAGAATTTCACCACCGCACCAAAATAGTGTGGAACAGATTATCTTTGCATACTAAATAATCAAAATCTTTTTGAATTCAAAACAATTTGAAATATTTTAATTATTATTCTCCATGTATATCTGTATATATTATATAGATTTTTTTTTCAGTTTTACTGCACAACGCCATTGAATACGTTTATGTAAAAAGGGACATTTAATCAAAACTATGGCAAGCCCTTTTGCTATTTATTCGGACAATAAAATTTATATTAAAATTACAGAGATATCTCTCATTTCAGAGAGATATCTCTTTAAAAAAGAGATATCTTTCAAATTAAAGAGACATCTCCCAAATTAAAGAGATATCTCTCATTTTAACGAAGTATCTCTATGAGAAAGAGATATCTCTAAAACTTCAAAAACTCTCTCTTATTAGAGAGATATCTCCTCCACTTAAAAGATTTCCCTTTACCTTGAGAGATATTTCTTTCGTGAAAAGAGATATCTCTCTAACTTTTAGAGATATCTCTTTCACCTAGAGAGATATCTCTTACTTTTGGAGATTTCTTACAGGAGTTTCTTACAAAGTTTAAGAGATATCTCTTATTGTAAAACAGATATCTCTCTTAGTTTATCTAAAGAAATATCTTTCAAAGTGAAAGAGATATCTTTCAAAAGTGTCTTATAGAGATATCTCTCAAGTAAAAAGAGATAAATCTTTACTGCGAAGAGATATCTCTCTTCATTATTTTTATTTAAATTCCATGTGAAATGACTTCTCCCTTTACTGGAAGTAAGCTTTTTTTCACGGAAGTACATTAAAGTATTTTTAAATTTCGACATATTCCTGATACTCTATATATACATTTCCTGAACATGAGAAGTAATTCAGTGTTGTCTAGATTTCAAATTAGTAATAGTTGACACCGATAATTTCATAAGCTGAGAAAATTCGGTCCTTTGCAATTGAGACTATATACTTACTTTCGTTTTCCTGAATATGAAACTTTTAGCATTTTTATCAAAGAAGTTGCCATCATTATTTGTTGTTTCAAACAAAGGATTTATAGCATATTTGTCTACATAGTGCATATATTATTCTTGGTATTGCATGCTCTGTCTTTTTTCTTATAACAGCGAAAATATTGCAGAGACTTTACTTTCTGTTTCTCTTTCGTTTTAAAGGGGAGAATTATTTATTTTATTTTAAGGATCACTTGGAAAGAAACATCTCTATCATTAAAATATATATCTTTTTAGCTTAAAAAGATATCTCTTTTTGAATATATATAAAAAGATATCTCTAACTAAAAAAGATATCTCTTTTAACCTAGTTAAAGAGATATCCCTGTAACTTTAAGAGACATCTCTCTCGCTTAAAGAGATATCTCTCTAGCTTGTAAAGATATCTCTGTAAGAAAAAAGAGATACCTCTCTTACAAAAAGAGATTTCTCTTTTGTATAAAGAGGTATCTCTCTAAGGAGTAGTTAGTGTAGGGATGTGTCAATCAAACGCTTCTAGTAATTTGTAGTTCTAACAACTTCCAGAAATAATAAGATTTTTATTATTTTTTCGTATGAAATGCAATAGCAACAAACATGTATAAGTTATGAAATTAAACAGAAAATTTGAGAAAAAAATTAACATCAAATCTGTGTCTGAGCACCTTTTAAGATTAAAATGACAATTGTAGAAGCATACTAATTAAAATGCGATAAACAAATATGGAAATGCGAGCATCTTTGCTCTAATAGCCTAAAAACATTTTTATATAATTATACATTGTTTACCTTTCATGGGGATAAAACAGCTTGTATTATTAAGGTAGTCCGATCCTCAGGTATATAAAATTAGCAGTTAAGTAATCAAAAATACTCATAAAAGTATCTTTGAATCCACAAAGTTATATAAATTTATCCACAGTATTTTGTTAAAGTTAAAAATTAAAGTTAATCATATTATATAGGGAAAATTTTCAAATCTCCAATATTTTTGCAGGAAAAGCGAATTGGAATGTCAGTAATGAATTTAATAATTGCATTTTTGATCAACAAATATATTTTAGGTTAAAAACGATAGGTATCTAGGCATTCAGAGAAATTGTCGTGATTTTCATACTCATTTGGTATTTTTTTATCTTCTTTTTCCGTC